ATTTGTGTGGTTCTAAATCATTCTTACTTTATAACATATAAATCCATTTTTATTTGGTAAACAAATCTATACCAAACAGTGTCAAAACAGTGCAAAATAGTGCAAAATAGTGCCAAACAGTGCCAAACAGTGTCGCTACAGTGTAAAGTCAATTTCATCTCCTTAAAACTTGTGAAGTCAAAGTGTGACAAACATTTAGGGACAGAGGGAGTATAAAATGCGGAGTAAGATATATATATATATATATATATATATATATATATATATATATATATATATATATATATATATATATATATATATATATATATATATATATATATATATATATATATATATACACACACACACACACACACAAAAATGCTACGTGTACACGCCGGGTTACAAGGCAGTGTACACAGCAAAAAAAGCCCCCACCCCTCTTTCTAACCCACCCCACTTTTGAATTAATCCCCCCTCTCCTTCTTCTCCCCTTTGCACACACAATATGTCTGTTCCGTTTTTTATTTGTCTGTACCCTTCCTCTCTCTAACCTGCAGCACTTCTTCATTTTCGTTCAAGTGGTGATCGAGGTTGTGGTACACGTTGAGCACCATGGAATCCAGTAATACGTATGTGTGTGATGACGAAATTCGTTGGACATGGGAGAATATTTTCGAGCATAGTCCTGGTGAAACCTCCACGCCAGCTGCGACGGAAGGCGGTGGTGAACATATGACGGAGGGTAGAAATATCATCTTAATTAGCAGAAGTGTAGAAATATGGCCAGTTGCTTGATTCGGGCCATATACTCCATCACATTTCATCTTGGAGGGTAGAAATATCATCTTAATTAGCAGAAGTGTCATTTTATGATTGAAACGTCATCTCAATGGGTAGAAGAAACAATTACATTTGCATGTACTGCTACAAAAGTATCTTTTCAACTAATTTTGTCAAACATACCCATCGTCATATGTGGGCCGGAAGTTCTTCATTGGTAGCAACTAGCAACTGAGATACTGAGTACCATGTGGCTGCCCCAAAATTATTGGATCAAGAAAGGTGGCTGCCCAACATTAGAGCTTAAATGCCTTGTTAATTTGGATGAGGTTGATGGGGGGCAAAGTAGCTTATGCTCTCTCTCTTGAAGGCCATTGCCTGCGTTGGAGAAGCACTTGAATAGAGAGAAGCAGGAACTATTGTGGATGTTGTTGCTGCTCAAAGCCTCAAACCAATGTCTTATGTCTAAATCTACATAAATCTAGCCAAATCCATAGTAAGTCTCCTAAAACCCCATATCGATGCAAATATAAAATGTCCAGAAAACCCCCTTTACCTAGGGGTGGATTCGGTTCGGGCCACCCGGCCCGTGACCCGGCCCGGCCCGCTACTGTGCGGGCCCGGGACCGGTCCGGTCTGGCGGTCCGGGACCGGGTGTAGACCCGAACCGGTGGGAATGGGCGGGGCGGGCACGGTTCTGGAAAAATGTGACCCGGCCCGGCTGGGTCGAGCCCGGGTCCGGGTCAAACGGTCCTATGTTTTTTAAAAAAAATGTTAAATAATTACTAGCCGTTATGGCCTTGGGGGGTGGGCTGGGGACAACCCAAACGGCTATATAGCCGTTGGGTGGGGTGCAGGGGGGTCCGGGGGGGTTGGATAGTGGGGGGTGGGGGGTAAAAAAACCTATAAATACTCCTAATCTTAAACTTTTTGCATATCTCTTCTCCAATTCTTCCTAAATCCTATTCTTAACTCGCTACTCTCTAATTCTCTTATTCTCCAATATATTATATTTATTATTTATAGTTTATATTAATTATCTACTTATAATTTATAAATACATAGATTATAGTATTATATTACTTATATTTGTTATCTAATTATATATTACTTATATATTTATTATATCTATTAATATAGTTGGAATTATATCTAATTAATTTGAAGTCATTCTATTACTCCCATCCGAAAGACCGAAAGTCCGAAAGAGGTACGAAATTATTCTATTATTTACACTTGTTTGATTTTGTATTAACGTTACTTGAAAAAAAACTAGTTAATTAGGTTGTACAATTTGCTATAACTCGAATTAATAGTTAGATTAATAGTTAATTACTTTATTACAATTTTTTATTAATTGCTACATTTGACTCTAGTTTAAAAAACTAGTTGTAATTCTAATTATAGTTAAAGTTAAAGTATATTAATTTCATTGTTAGTAAAAAAAATAGGTTGTACACAAAACTAGTTAATTCACTAGTTAATTTGCTATAACTCGAATTAATAGTTAGATTAATAGTTAATTACTTTTTTACAATTTTTTATTAATTGCTACATTTGACTCTAGTTTAAAAAAATAGGTTGTACACAAAACTAGTTAATTCACTAGTTAATTTGCTATAACTCGAATTAATAGTTAGATAAATAGTTAATTACTTTTTTAAAATTTTTTATTAATCGCTACATTTTTTAGATGGATATTCGGTTTATATGGATAACCTCGAGCGCAACCGAACGAAAGAACTTGCGAGGAAGAGATCCCGCAAAGGTAAATCACATATCGGCTCTTCATCTCAAAGTCGAGATGATTTTGATACGGGTTACGCAAGGAGGGATGGGGATGCGATGTGGAGGAAGTAATTCCGGAGAGCCACGACGACGAGGAGGAGGAGGGTGGCGGCAGCCATGACGCCGACCAGTCTACCTCATCCCAAACAGGTACAAAAAAAATTACATCTGAACTAATGACTAATAATTTTTCTAAGTGGAAGGACCCGAACATCGGGAATTGGACCGCAACTTGCAATTGGTGCAAGAAAAACTATAGCTTGGGGATTTCCGGCGGATACGGATCCGCCACAAGACACCTTAAGTCCAAACACCCGGTGGAGTATGCAAAATTAGGCGGCGGAACGGGGAAGCAAACTCAAATATCGAGGTTTGCAAATAACCAACAAGTTTTTGGTAATTTCTCATACAATGATGCACAAAATTTGACAGGTATGGCTAACTTACTTGTTGAAGAAAATTTACCTTATTTGTTTTCTGAAAGTCTTGCTTTTCGTGATTATGCACAAACTTGTTTAAATCTGCAATATAGAGGTTATAGTCGCAAAACGGTTAAGAAAGAAATTTCAAGGCTTTATGGTGCGGAAAAGGTAAGGTTACAAAATTATTTTGCAAACTTTGATGGACGTGTTACTGTATGTTCTGACATATGGGAGGATACTTAACATAATTTACATTATTTGGGTCTGACTGTACATTATATTGATAATGATTGACATATGCATAAACGTGTTCTTGCTTTCCGTGAATTTAATGATCGTTACACCGCTGAACATATTTATATTTTGATTGAGCGTATTTTAATTGAGTATAATTTAATTGATAAGGTGTTTGCTATTGGTTTTGATAATGCTACTAATAATACTGCTGCTATTCCTAGATTGCGTGAATTGTGTGGTTATACTTCTTTGATGGGTAGATTTTTTCATCAACGATGTGCATGTCATGTTCTAAATTTATGTGTGCAAGATGGTCTAAAAGCGTTGGGAGCATCGTTGGAGATAGTCAAGGGGTGGATTAGATGTATTTGGGGTAATGGACAACTTAGGAAAAAATAGCATGATTATTTGATAGAAAGAGGTGAGAGATATGTGGCTTTTCCTAAAGATTTGTCTATTCGTTGGAATAGTACCTATAAGTTAATTGGAGTTCTTCTTAGATATAAACAACATTTTCCTGCTTTTATGAAACAATATGATAACTATATTATAAACTCGGTTGAGATCGACACCTGTGAAAAAAATTGTAATGCTTTGATATATTTTAATAATGCAACTGAAACTTTTAGTCATGTTTATAAACCTACCTCAAACCAATTTATTCGTGAAACTGTTAATCTCGCCGGTGCTTTTTCAATTTTTGAGAATGCTGATTATGTGAGTTATTTTGCTAGTTTTATGAAAGAAAAGTTTTTAAAATATTATTCACATATTCCGCATATTTATGGTATTGCATTTGTTCTCGATCCTCGTTTTAAACTTGGTTCTTTAGAAGAATGTTTGAATTATTATTATGCTGCTTTTTTTGGTCCATTGCCAATGTATGAGGACAACCCAATTGATCCGAAAAAAGAATTCAACGAGGTTAGTGATATATTTTATGCATTATTCAATGAGTTTCATGCACAATATGGCAATGCGCCCCCTCCCCCGACACAAACATCATCTAAAGGAAAATAAATTTTCAAATCTACGTTTGCCAATCTTATTAAAAAACGAAATCAACTCCCGCTACACAACAAAACACAATTAATGAGATTTCTTTGTATTTAACATATGATGTTGATTTTGAAGAAGATGATTTTGACGTACTAAACTGGTGGAAGGAAAAAGAAAGAATGTTCCCGGTTTTAGCAAAGATGGTTAAACAAGTGCTATCAATGCCGGTTTCAACGGTTGTCGTGGAACAAGAATTTAGTTCAGCCGGCAATGTCCTAACACAAACCATAACGAGGTTGAGCGCAGAATCTCTTGAGATGCTTATATGCTACCACGATTGGTTGAAAACAACCCGTAGAGCTCAAGAAATTGACATCATCCCATCCCAACCGAGGATGGCTCTACCTATGCCGAAGATTCCGATTGAATGATTGATTAGTATTTCATGTTTTAATTTTACCTTCAATTCTCAATTGTAGTTCCTATTTAATTTTCAAATGTAGTTCCTATTTCATTTCAAATAAATGCACTTGAAGTTTGTTTTTAATACTTGTATAAAACTATAAAGTATAAAATATAAATTATAAAAACAAAAAACAAAATCTTTAACCGACCCGGCCCGGCCCGGCGGGTGGCCCGACCCGTGACCCGGGCGGGTGGCCCGACCCGAACCGGACCTGTCCAACCCTCGGGCCGGTCCCAGGCCCATATGATACGAACCGGCGGCCCGACCGGGCCTAGGCCCGGCCTGACCCGGCCCGAGTCCATGAATACCTTTACCCATTCAAGGATTGAAGTGGCTAGTCAAATCATTCACTATGGCAGTAATACATGTGTCATGAGCTCTGTAGTAATCAATACAGCACAAAATCTTTAAAGCCATTTCAAAGTATAACCATAATTAAATAAGAAAGCTATAGGGGTAACTCCATTGATCCTTGATTTACAAAAAGAAGCTGCAAGAAGCACAGTCATGGAATGCTAAAGTGACTGATGATGATGATTTATTCATCATCTGTGAATGTTAAGCATGGCCTTTGCTTCCATCTGCTCTTCGACCAAATCTTCACTAGCATATCTACTCAAGAGCTCCATCTTCTTTTTCTGCAACACCATTCTCTCAATCTCCTTCTCATCCGGCAAGGGAACATGCACCACAAACTCCTTTTCCTTTTCTTTCTCTCTTTCCCTCCTCTCCTCTTCCACAACATCCTCTTCTTCCTCGAACAATATTTTCGCTCCCAAACCAACCTCTACTACCTCCCCACTCCTCACTGCCTTCTTTGCTTCTTTCTTTATCTCCTCAATCTCCATCCACTCTTTTAGTGCGGCAGCCCTCATCTTCTCCTCTGCTGGCCCCTCCAACTTCTCCAATATACCATCTTCTTCATCTCTATACCCATAATAACTTGCATCAATCCTCTTGTATATGTCATACCTACAAATATAAAGTCAACCAAAAACATGTCAGCGTAAACTACATAATTAACAAGTAGAAAGTAATCAACCAATGCTCTAAAAAAAATACATACATAGGTGTATATTTCAAGAAAATACATAAATAGGTGTATAGTTCAAGAAAATACAAAATAAACCGATGCATGCACACATGTGATAACTGTCAAGATGCTGAAAGCAGTTTCAAAGCAAAGTTTCTTGAAATGACATAAATCATGTCATAGAAACTCACCCAAGATAAGAAATCAAATCCAATGGTTTAATGGAGTGCATATTTGTCTATGCATTGAATGGAAAAATCACACATGATTTATATTAGTGTCAATGTGTTGATCTCCCCACCATGTTGCAGAATGTTGTCCAAGTATTGGCAATTACCTCAGAATCAATTCTAATTCTTTCAAGAGGGTAGCAGTTAAAACCTAATGCCATAATTCCATACAATTTATACCAATTTGTGATTTTGATCCGTTAACTAGATCATTACCGATAAATGTATATCAATCACATAGTCACAAACTGAATCGACCTCTGGTGAACAAATCATCAGCATACAACATCTAAATCAACAAGACAAGCTCAAAAAGGCAGGACTTTTGCGCCTAAGATGACAGTCTCATCATTCATTAATCAGCAAAATTTCAAATTTACTTCGACATTCACCTTCTATGGCTCTAAACTGCTTAAAGTGAGAAACCAATCTTAATGCTAAACTAAAGAGCAGAAGTAATTACAGAGTTTGCTGGAAAAATGCTGATTTCTTACAGTGATGTTGATTGCATAGTCAATGCTACATTGCAGAGAAGTAATAATAGTAACGTAGGTATAGCAAAAATAGGTCATCAAGCATCAGTCACAGTTACAGTCTTGCTATTGGATTAGGCATGAACTAGTTACTATACCTCGTCCTTCTCTTCCGCAACTCAGGAGGCTTCTCGAACAGTTCTCGAACTCCAGGTAACTTCTTTGCGGCGCCAAAGTATCTGTACCCCGGCCCACGCCCGCCAGGATTAGGGACATCAACAATGTTTCCTTCTAAGTCCGTCATTTTAGCGGAATGCTTCGTGTAGTTCGGGCCACCGAGCTCGACTATCCGTCTTTCCCAATGGCCCTTCTCACGTATCAGCTTGTTAATTTCATCGTTCAGGTCACGAAGTCGGTGTTCGCCGAGACCCTCGTTCTGGATCTCCGCCACCTTGCGGCCAATCTCCCGCAGGATCTGCTGTCGCCACTTGTCGGCCTCCGCAAGGTCTCTACACTCCGATGCGAGGAAAGGACGACGCTCCTTCGGCTTCTTCTTTTCCTCCTCCTTCATGGTGATGAACCGATTGAGCATCGACTGCGCTTTTTCCTCGTTACGAGCCATGGCTGACGGAGAGGAATGGAAACCCTAGGTTGAAATTGATTTCGTTTTGGGAGGATGAATACCAATCAGAGCAGATTCGTTTTCGTCTACGAGGGAGTCGCTGGGTTTAAATCAGGGCACCTTTTATCATTCATACCAGTTTCATAAACAAAACAGGTTACTTTGAAAGAGGTAACTTAAGGGATGATTGCCTCAGAATACATTTTTCCAAAATGCAAAAATTGCGACAGTAACATGAAAATAACAGTAGTGATATGATTTTTTTCCTCAAAAACAATATTTTTCAAATATATAATCTTGTTAATCACATTTTTTTAATAAAAAAATTAAATACATTTTTAAAAATTGACTTCAGTTTAGTACCATTGTAATATTTAGAGAGCAACCCCATTTTTATTTTATTATAAATCGCATCACAAAGCTCTATATATGTTTGGCTAATAAAGTATATATTGTTAGTTACAAATTCATAATTGTTTTTCTATTTTATATTAATTTTTTAACAACTGTGTTTGTTTTTATCAATATGGATTTTCTCAATATTACTCAGTTCCACTATTGTAACACTTTTAGTAGTAATTACTTCTCATTTCACATGTGAATGACACGAGATTTATTTATCATATTAAATAATTTTGATGAAATTTATGTAAATAATTTATACTTCTTAACATTCTACAATGATAATCCATACAAAACAAATTGATATAAATAATCTGAACCCTTAAATCAGTTCGAAAAATTGGTGAAAGTGAATAAAAGTAATTGTTTCGTTATAGTCGTATCCCCATTATTGGTTTCCCTTTCTTACCATACTGACTTAAATCATTTGCTGGTTTCCCGACGAGTTTATGCGCCGCCTCATCACAAAACACTTGTCTTCTTATACCAAGCACATGCAAGATTCAATTTCTGTGAATAAGTCCAGCTAATCCATTCATAAAGTGTGGTCAATATCAAGCTTCCTACAGAAAAAAATCAACTTGCCTATGCCTTTTAGTTGTTAACCTATACACTTTCTATGTTCAATTTTTGGCAAATGACGTTGACTGTTGGCTGTTAGCTGATTGTGTTGGCCGATTACTGATAGCGGATTCTGTTGGCTGTTTTGATTAGTTGATAGTATTAACAGTTTGTAAAATAATGTTTGGTTAAATGGCTTGATGGAGTATATGGGTCTGAGCCCCCGGACCCACATACTCGGAAGAACAGAAAGCACAAGGCACAGAGTGGCGCCCTCGTCGGCCAGGACGCCCCCGTCGGCCGAAAAGGGGCCAACTCGGATTATGGTCCTGAGTTCAAGGAACCCGGGTGCCCTCGTCGGCCGTGCCCTCGTCGGCCGTGCCCTCGTCGGCCACGCCCTCGTCGGCCACGAAGACCTCACAGAATCGGATTTTATACTTACTTATTTGTACAGCCCATTAGTGGCTTTGTATTCGGCCCAGTAGCGGTCCAGTTGTAAATGGGCCTCCCAAGCCCAAGGCTTGGGAGCCCAACCCTAATTTTCTCTATAAATACTCCCTTTGGGAGTAGTTATAGGGGTTACAAAATCATTCTATTGAAGCATATTATTGCACTTCTCTCTCTAGCTCTCACTTCTCTCTAGATATACTCTATCATTTGGTGCTCTCGTTGAGAGCTAGAACAATCAAGTTAGCACCCTTCGTCGCTACCAAGCACAGCTAACCACTGATCATGGGGAGAACTAAGTCAAACCGCAACCTCGTCAGCAAAGTCATCCCTGAGGACCAAGAGCCCAGGGAGCACGATGAGGACGCCACGGCCGACCAGGCCGGCGGAGGAGATCTCTTCCAGGAGGCCTTCAACCTCACAACGGACCTCCGCAACCAACTCAACGGCGGCGCCCCTGATGCCCGCCTCGGCTTGGACAAGAAGCGAGCTGAAAAGACGGATCACGCCCCGGCCCAGCCTATGGACGCGGCCTCTCCGTCCGTGGATCCTCAGGTCCAGGCCGCACTATCGGCTATCATCGCCAGCTTGGCTCAGAACCCCACCGTCCTCAGCGCACTCTTGCCAAGGACTGGGGGGAACGTCACTCAACCTCCTGAACCCCAACCTTTGGCCGTCCAGATAGGCAAGAACGAGGGGGTTGTGGCCCAGGACACGGCGTCGTCCCACTCCCACCCTGCTTCCCCTCTTCGGCCCGGGCAGACCCCAGCGCGTGGAAAAGCCTATGCCTTCAATAGGCTAGGTGACACGCGCCGTCGTCCGGTTTCGGAGAGGATGGCGGGACGGATTGGTGATCCTCGTCCTGGCTCGCCAAGGGAGAGCTTGGGGTCTGTGTCCCGGACAGCGGACCAGCCCCGCCCGGACAAGGGCAAGGGAAAGTTGCACGAGGATGACGTGCGTCACCAGATCAACGCGGCTCACAACGAGCGCATGAGGAACCAGCCGGGCGGCGCTACGGCCGCCAGGGACCCCCGGGACGAGGTCATCGCCCAGCTGGAGAGGAGGCTAGCTCAGATGGAGGCCAAGCAGTCGGCCAACATCCCTACGGCCGGCGCCTCCAACGATCCCGGCCTCAACGCGCTCATGAACAAAGTTAGCACCCTGGAGAGGGAGCTGGCCGAAGGGCGGGGTGACCCCATCATCCAGGTCAGGACGAGGACCCCCTTCACCAACAGGGTCCTCTCGGCCCCCATCCCTGAGAAGTACAGGGGGAACGCCATCAAGTCCTACGATGGCCGATCAGACCCCCAGGAGCACTTCAGCCGTTACCAGAACAACATGCTGATGGTAAACGCGTCCGACGAATACCTCTGCCGTTGGTTCCTCTCTACTCTCGAGGGGCCAGCGTACGAGTGGTTCAACGGGCTGCCAGAAGGAAGCATCGACTCATGGCAGGATCTCGCCCAGCGCTTCCTCACTCACTTTGCCGGGAGGAAGCGCGCGAATAAGTATTTCACCCACCTCCTCTCCGTCAAGCAGCAGCACGAGGAGTCCCTCCGGTCATTCATCGATCAGTGGACGAGAGAGACCGAGGAGGTCGAGGGGGCCGATGAGCGCACCCTCCTCGCCTTGTACCAGGGAGCCCTCCGCAGCTCCCCGTACGCTAGGAGCCTCATCACCGACCCCCCGAGGTCGTACGCCAAGGCGCTCCAGCGCGGAGGCTTATATGCCGACGCCGACGAGCTCCACAATCACAAGAGAGAGGGGGGCCATCCCCCCAAGAAGACAAATCCTTCGCCGGCCCCGGGTCCGTCCCCGACCGGCCAGGGTGCCCAGGGCCGCCACGGCTCTGGTGGACAGAGTAAGAAAGACCGCCACTGGCGGCCGAGGCTGGAACGGCCGGGGGTAACCCTCACCCACCCGGTCGGCACCATCCTCGATTATGCTGAGAAGCACGGCCTCATCGAGCAGGCTCCTCGGCCGGCCGAGGAGATCCTTGCCATCCAGCAGGGCGGCACGTACTGCCTGTTCCACAAGAACTCGTCGCACAACAACGACGATTGCATCACATTGAAGAAGGCCATCGAGCGCCTTATTCGCCAGGGGGAACTCTCCCAGTTTGTCAAAGGTGGCCCACGCAAGAACACTTGGGTAAACACCGGCAAACATGGGGGTGAACCCTATGCGAAGAAGCGGGAGATTGGTAGGCTCAGCGACGACGAGGACTTCGAAGAGCCTCCACCAAAGAAGAATCACATCCACCTCATCGTAGGTGGGAACACTGGGGGGGACTCCGCCACTCAGAGAAAGAAATGGGCCCAATCCCTCTACATTGGGGAGGTGTCCCACGTCCCTCCCCAGCCGAAGAAGCAGCGAACGGAGGCGATCACCTTCACCGACAAGGATCTGCCTCCGGGTACGGAATCACACAGGGACGCCCTCGTCATCCGATGTGAGATCGGTGACTCCATCATCCACCGTACTTACATCGATACGGGGAGCTCCGTCAATGTGATGTACTTGGACACCTTCAAGCAGCTGAAGCTGGACAGAGCTCTGCCGAAGCCGATCAAGACCCCGTTATCCGGCTTCACCGGGGACTCTATCGACGCCGAGGGCACGATAGTCCTCCCCGTGGAAGTCGGTGACGGCCCCCACCATGCCAAAATTGACATGGAGTTCATGGTGGTGAACCTCCGGTGCGCCCACAACCTGATCTTGGGCCGACCAGCGCTGGAGGACTTGGAGGCCATCATCTCCATGAAGCACCTATGCTTGAAGTTCCCCACCAATGGCGGCATCGGCTACGCCATAGGAAATCAGAGGATAGCCAGAGCTTGCTACCTCAAGCTAACGAGGCCGGCTGAAAGGGAAGGACAGCGGATAGACACCATTACGGCCGCCGTCGCCATGGACGAGGAGAGGCCACATGCGGAGCCGGCCAAGGAGGTCGAGGAGATCCACCTGGATACCTCCCGGCCGGAGCGGGTTCTCAGGGTCGGAAGGCAACTCCCCCAGGACCAACGAGACGTCATCCTCCTCGTCCTACGGTCATACGCCGTTGTCTTCGCGTGGGGCCCCGACGATATGCCAGGCATCAGCCGCCAGGTGATCACTCACCGGCTGACCGTCGATCCGGCCTCCGCGCCGGTCAAACAGAAGCGGCGCTACTTGTTCGCCGATAGGCGGGACTTCGTCAAAGGGGAGGTCGCCATGCTCCTCTCAATCAAACACATCAAAGAGGTGAAGTACCCGACATGGTTGGCCAACGTCGTCCTCGCACAAAAACCACCGACGTTCAGAATGTGTGTTGACTACACTGACCTGAACAAGGCGTGCCCCATGGACCCGTTCCCTCTCCCCAACATTGATCAGCTGGTGGACGAGACGGCGGGGTGCGAGTTGATGTCGTTCCTCGATGCTTTCAGAGGGTACCACCAAATCTCCATGCATGAAGATGACGCTGAGAAGACGGCATTCATGACCCCAGAGGGAATCTTTTTCTACCTCGTCATGGCCTTCGGACTCAAAAACTCCGGCGCCACCTACACTAGGATGGTGGCCAAGATCTTCAGAGCGGTCCTTGGCCGGACGATGGAGGCGTACGTCGACGACATGATCGTCAAGAGCAGGCAGGCAGGCAACCTCCCACGCCGACGTTCTCCGGGAAATCTTTGAAATAATGAAGGAGTTCAGGCTCCGTCTCAACCCCAAGAAATGCGCCTTCGGCGTCCAGGGTGGCAAGTTCCTCGGCTACATGGTCAGCCGGAGAGGCA